AAATTAAACACTGGGCCGAAGGCCGAATTATAAAAACGTTTTTTTTTTTTTTTTTCCCCAGAAGTAGGAAAATAAAAGCGAGAGACTGAAGAGGTATGTGCTGATAACTGATTATGGAAAAGACAACTAAAATGCAAACAAATTGGCCATAATATTTGAGCTATAAATACAGCACCAGATCAAAGAAACCAAAGGTGGTCAAGCTGGTTTGCTTTTGGTAGCTTAACCTGGTTTGGTTTATCAGGTCCAACCAGGTTAATCCAGAAAGCTCCCCAGGTCAAGGGATGCATGATATATTGGTGTTTTAATTATTTTTGGGTTGAGTAGTAGTACAAAAATAGTAAAGTAGAATTGTATTAAATTAACTTTCTTAATAAATGAATAAAAAGGCCATGACATAAAATAATTATCAGTTCATTTTATTGGCCATAATTTTAATATCTGTGCATCCCTAAAACCCAGCAACAATCAGACAAGGAGATGAAAGTCTAAAACAGTAGGCAATCACTATTCATGCATATGAGAAATTCATATGAAAAACAGATGGTGAATGGTCTTTATCTGTTGTTAAAGATGAATCTATGAGATGACCATTGCGTAGATTCATCTTCAGTGATTGGTGCCGTTTGCGGAACGAGAGGCTTGTGTCTCTCATTTGCCACTGGATCTGATGACCTTTTGAGAACCGTGGGCTAATTATCTCTGAAAGCACACTTTTTCCATCCCAATTATTGGCTCATTTCTGGTTCAGGGCGGCAGCGGGCAGGGCCTAATTAAGTGAGTAATTGAATTGCATTTCTCTTTAATTAAATATTTCACACTCAGATAATCTCAGAAGATGAAAACCCCTAGCAATCTCTCCGCCGATGCACGTGAGAATGCAGCGGAGAACACCTGGGTGCCTATTGACTGAGCCGAATAATCAAAGTCATAAACCACATTGGGTAGGTTTAAGTTAGTCATAGCTGAACGCACAATAGCCTGGTCTCTCAGGAACAGATTAAGTCTCATTTAAAAAGCACTTTCACAAGAAATATTTGAAAATGGCCCACAGACTTATAAGTGTCGGTGTAAATTTGAAGCAGTTCTTTGTTTTGCAGCACATACAGTGGCTCCAAAAAGATTTGGACACTTAAGTCACACATTAATATGCACGAACGTCACTGCATATAATAAAATATCATAGATTCAAATATAATATAAATATATTTTTGAAAGATTATATATTATATATATGTATATTCATATTTCAAATGTTTTATGTAATCTAATGCAATGACAAAGAAATTTATCAGTGTAACTTAAATGTCTATATACGCTTTGCTTCACATTTATGCTTTAAAGCAACACATGCTCTGGCTCTCGTGTTTCCGTCCTGACCAGAGGAACTCACCCTTTTTTAATGATTATGATAATGGCCCCAAGTAGCAGTATCAGGACCACCAGCCCACCAGCACACACTCCTAGGATGAGCCCCATCTCCTCTGAGCGCTGTGTGACCTCAAGAGCACGCTGATGGTCTTTACAGGCGGCTGAAGAACACACAAACATACATAACAACAATTGAGAACACCAGCAATTACATATAAACATACAAACCAGCCTGAATTAACATATTTACCGGCAAACAAAACACAAACACACAAATCCAAAGTACTCAGGAGAGGAAAAAGATTCAAATGAAGCCTGATGGAAAAGAAGAGTTTGTAACAGATGAACAAACATGTTAATTATGATCTCAACACAAGTTTTCATAATCGTTTTAATTCTATGGAAATAGGGAAGTCCACACCACAACTATAACGATAACAAAACAGGGGAACAATATTTTTGGAATGATTTTTTTCTAGCTGATGAACGATAAAACGTTGACAGCCAATCAGAATTCACCTGCTTAAGCTTGAGCGTTTAAAGCAACAGACAACTTAACTGCAGTGCACACTAATAATAAACTGAATGTCATTGTGTGTTGGTGTGGACATTAATATAATAAAGTGGTCTTCTAATTCTAACCAGGTTAAACAAGACAGAACCAGGGTGAAAATATTTGGTGTGGCGATCAACCAAAAGGTGTGGTACTGACATGAGGTCAGCCGATCAAGGTCTTAAACCAGCTTGTACCAGCTAACAACCAAGTAAATCTGACACAAGCTGGATTTCTCAGCAGGTTTAGAAGAAATAAACAGACATTCAAATTGAAAAGCAGAAGGAGACCTTTGGTCATCCACTGATAGAGGCACAAGACAAAATTGACAATCTGAGAAAGCAAGTGAGAAAAGCATCTACAACATAGTCCTGAGTCAAAACCCAAAACATAGTCATGAGCCAAGGTGAAAGAAATGAAAGATCTGGCAATCCTGAGGGCTCCTTCAATCGCTCATCATCAGCTGTTTCCCTACTGTACCACGCAGTTTGCACGCCTCCTCTGCGGCGCAAGTGCCAACTGCACCCGGTCAGCTATTTATCCCAGGCACCTGTCTCCACTGACAGTGTGTGGGCAGGGGTCATTTCACAATCGAAAGGCTCCTGGGGATAGCATGACTCTCAGTCACACCACAAAATGAGACTGTGTGATCCAAGAGAGAGAGTAAAGAGAAAGTGTGCATATGCAGCGGAGCCTGAGGCAAATTGCCCTGACCTGGACACGCAGCAGCTGGGCTATTTATACTCTTTCATACACTCATGCTTGTACGGGGATGTTTTGCATGTTTTTGTGGGGGTTTGTTTGAGCTGATGAGTATGTGTGAACATCTATGGAAATCTGTATTTCTTGCTCTTTTCACAAAAACACTGTTAGGGGTTGTACAGCAAATCCTAATCCAACTAAAACGATTAAAGACCAAATATTGAAATGATATATACGATAAAAATGAATATATAACAATTTTAATATGTTGTCTTTACATTAAACATACACAAATTGTTATATCCGTCTTTCGGATGAGACGTTAAACCGAGGTCCTGACTCTCTGTGGTCATTAAAAATCCCATGGCACTTCTCGTAAAGAGTAGGGGTGTAACTCCGGTGTCTTGGCCAAATTGCCCCCCTGGCCTTTGTCAATCATGGCCTCCTAATTATCCCCAACCACTTGATTGGCTCTATGACTCTCTCTCCTCTCCACCTGTAGCTGATGTGTGGTGAGCGCACTGGTGCCATTGTACAGTCTTCGGGTGTACAACAATACACAATAAAGCGCTATATAAATGCATCATTCATTCATTCATTCATTCATATATTTAAATATTACATACCACATTATATAACCAACACTATGTGTTACGTAATTCAAATAAATCTGAAATATAATGTTCTACACAAACATACATTAAAACTGTAGGAGGAATTACGGGAGACACTTTGAGATGCAAAGTATAATTTATAAACAAGTGGTCCATGACACATAAAATCAAGCAGACATTCAGCTGTTGCACTATTCATTGATTTGGCAAAGGCGAGCAGGTGTGTTGCCACAACAATTTAGAAAAAAATCCTGATAATCTCATGCAAACAACCAGTGACATGGCTCCAAGAAACCAGCAAATGGCTATTTAAACTAATAACTGGTTACTTGCCAATGAGGCCATGTCTGCTTAGTCAAATCCACAGTGGGAGTCCTACATCTTTGTTGATGAGGGACTAGAGATCATCTTACTCCGCCTAGTGTTAGTGCTTCCTTAATGTCTCTGTGGCCTGAAAGTTACAGGGCCCTATGAAAAAGAGATTGAGCTAAGGCCTGAGGAAAAGGGTTTAGGGTTCCATGCAAGGCCAAGGCTAAAAATAAGTCATAAGCATGTGGAGGGATGTGGGGCAGCAAGAAAAAGAATTTGCCATGGCGCTCTCTGCTCCCTCAACAGCCAAAGGCAGTTTCAAAACTTCCCTGTCTTTGTGACAATGGCTCACTCAGAATGGCGAAGAAATGCCTCTGAAAACTGAAGAGCTTTGTTTTTTTTTTGCATTCTTTCCATTGACTGGAGTTATAGTATGGCATTGGATTGTACGCATATAATAATAAAAAATGAACATTATGGCATTATGTACTCACTCTCATGTGGTTCCAAACCTGCATGAGTAGACTTGTGCCGGTATTCGGTACTGCGATATATCACGGTAATGAATATGCACGATATTGTTATCGTGGGCACTTCTAAATACCGTGAATAATTATATATGACAAATTATTCAGAATTTTGAATGCATTTTAAGACAGCACTTTTTAGAACTAAATTTCAATATTGTGATAATACCGTATACCGTGATAAAAGCATTAGCAATTAATCGCAACATGAAAATTTTATACCGGCATGTCCCTATGCATGAGTTTACTTCTTCAGAGGAAAACAAAAGGAGAAATTCTATTTTCTGTAAATAACTGAAATTCCAGTCTGTTTCTCTAACAATGCTATTGTATAACTTCCGAAAACGTGTAACATTGCATAAGGATTAGACTACTACTAATAATGGACTACTTCTATGATAACTGAAAAGCCTTTTTAAGCTTAAAAGCCTCAGTACTCAAGTGTAACTGCATGGAAAAGAAGAAAGTCACACAGGTTTGTAACTATATGAGAGTGGGTAAATAATCAAATATTTTTGGTTGGAGGGAGAATAGTTTATTTAAAGTAGCGTAATTTAGACCATTCCTTCCTTTCCCTTCCAATCCAAAGCAACTTTCTATGTGACAGATTTTAGATATCTGAAGACAACAGAGACTATACTTTCTCAAACCCCCCACAGAGATCCCACATTACACTAGACTTGAGAAGTCAGACTCCCACAAGAATCTTTTATAAAGAGCCCAGCCATGAATTATCTTAGAAGAAACCATCTCCTTTTATATAGTATAGTGCTTTTGGTGCACATCTTCACAGGCACAGATTTGCATCTAAGGCACCAATACAGTCTGTGTCTGCATCAGGCTGATAACAATATTAAATATACATAATTCTTTAGATGTCGACAGTGAAGAGATCTGATCTAGATTTACTATTTCTACAATTAAATGCTCTAAAAAACAAACCTCATTTCCAAAAATGGTGAGACAGTATAACTGCATAAAATAAAAATTTAACACTTTATAATAACGTTCAGTTGTAAGTCATTTATAAGTGATTAGTTAATGATGAAATAATAATTTGAATAAGCATTCATAACCGATTAATAAGTGATATGCTAACAATTTGTGCATGTTTTGATTCATTTACAAGTCATTTATAAGTAAAAACATGACTATGCGTTCATAAATGATCAATAAGTGATATGCTACGATTAGATTAACGATTTACAAGTCGTAAGTTATCTTAAAAAATAGCATCATGAAATAATCAAACAGATCCTTAGTAAATGGTTAATAGTTACTAGTTAATATATTAGCACAATATATCAGCACAGACTTGTGTTCTTTGTGGAGTGTGTGGGATCTAGTGATAATGTGAACCATTTTTACCCTCCACACAACGGAAGGTTTGTGAAACATTTACAACTGATGAGTAGTTTACACTTTAGTCTAGGCGATGCAGAAAGTGTTGTAAATGCCTTGTATACACCTCAGATCATTTGTAACAGGTAAGAAAAATCTACAAATTATGTGTAACACATTTACAAGTGATGAGTAGTTTACACTTTAGATTAGGGGATGCAGAAAGCTTTATAAATGTTTTACTCATGCATTTACACAACAGGTTTTGAATACTTTGTAGTGTGTACTGCAGCGTAAAGGCTCACTAGTGAGGGTTTAGACAGATGTCTTCTCTGACACACATGGAGTATTTTAACGCTGTGCACCTGATGTGGTCTTCAGTGGAGGGTAAAACCGGTTCTCATTATCATCCCTCACACTCCACACAGAACACAAGTCTGTGCTGATGAGAGAAAGGGTTTAACACAACCCACTGGAATCCCCTGACTGTAAGTCATTTACACGTTTATTCACTTGACAGCAAATAATTTATTATTCTTTAAAAAAAAAATAGTTTCAGCATAATTGCATTTATGTGCTTTTTAACAGACCAGCTTACAACTTTATATTTTATATACAACTTTAAAAAATTATATACCGATCATTTACTAATGGTTTGATCATCATTTGTTCATGATTAACAAATGTTTATTGAGACAATAGTACAATGTTGACATTTCAATGAACAATAAGTGATTAATAATATATTAACTAGTAACTTATTAATCATTTACTAAGGATCTTTTTATTTTTTCATGATATGCTATTTTTTTTAGATAACTTACGACAGATTTGTAAATCATTAGTATATTACTTAATAATCATTTGTGAACGTATAGTCATGTTTTGTAAATGATTAGTTCATCATTATCTAATCACTTGTAAGTGATTTATAACTTAATCTACAAAACATAGATAAAAATATTAACATATCACTTATTAATCATTTACGAACACATAGTCGTTTTTGACTTACAACTGAACGTTATTAAAAAGTGTTACCCAAAATTTAAATGAAAAAAGCAGAAATCAATGAATGCAAAAACATTTTTGAAATCTACAAATATGGTTTTTAT